TGGGGGTGGGGTAGGGTGGGAGGGGCGGACATAGACTTGCCTTAACCTTGCCCGAGACCCCGCCTGCAAGAATGACGGCGGCAACCGTCAGTGGCCTTATGCAATTTCCTAAACCTCTCTGAGCCTCGGTTTCCTTATCTGTTACGCGGGCGTAACCATGGTGTTCATTCCATAGCTCTGTTGGGATGATGTATCGGGGGATGTGTTAGCCCTTGTGCCTGACCCGGGTGAGCTTCCATGAATGGTCACTTGCTGTGGGAATGCTCACCGTCAAGGGGGTAAGGCTCACACTGGGGTATAGTACATGTTCCATCTGGTTTAGTACGGCAGCTCTGTAAGACCCTTCCGCCAGTCCCATTCTACATACAGGAAACTAACACTCAGAACATTTAAGTAACTTACTCAGGATTTACACAGCCAAGAAGTGGCAGAGGTGGGATGTGACTTGAGGCTAGGCAGGAACCAGGACTCATACTGCCCAATTCCAGAAGCCACTAGTCCCCATTCAGATACCCCTGTGACCTGGACTCACTGCCCCACAAGGGCAATTCCTTCCATGCCCTGATGGCTCCAGTGAGGGAAATACTCCTTCTTATAGTGAAGTCAAAACCTGCTTCGGGGAGTACCAAAATCCCACTGAGGTGTCTCTGCTTGTGGCTACAGACCCATCCCCACACCACCAGCTCCTTCAGAAGTCTGGCCTTGCTAATATCTTCCAGGCTGGATCCCGGGTACCTGTCCCTTTTTGTGCTCACATCCCCCTTGTAAGCCCATCAGCCTTCTGCCCCACCGTTGTCACCTCAGGACGGGGGCCACCCACCTCCATGCTTCCCTTCCAAACTGCACAACTGGGCACCTCACTGCTCTCTGGAACCAGCCTGGGGTCCCCATTATGATTTTTTCTGCATTGCCTGACTCTTCCCTCTTCCCGCTCCCACTGGCACATCTAATTAACCACCAAGCCCTACCCATTCCCTTCTCTGGAAGCACAGTCTCCACCCCATCCTGGGCCCAGCTGTTCACATGTGGTCACCTGGGTCCACCCCAGGGTCTCTCCTCCTTCACTCTATGCAGTTCCCAGAGCAATCTTGTAAAGTCACAGCTCTGCTGAAGCAGGTCTTCCTGTTTACCCACCCAGGGTCAGTCTCTCTGGCCTCAGCTTGCCTGTTCAGGCCCAGCTCCTCTGCTCCCTACAGCCCACCCTGTTCCAGGCACCTCACTTATCAGCCCTATTCTTAAGTGCCTCTGTTGGAATAGCTCAAGTTGTTCCCGGTGCCTGGAATGCTTTCTTCCTGCTCTCCTGCCTCTCCCCTTCCTACCACCCATTAAGGAGTCTCATTGCTGTGGTTATGATTGATAAATAGCTACACCTAGTGAGCATGAGCTCCATCCCAGGAATGAGGCAAAGAGCTCTGTGCACATGATCTCGGGTGGCCTTCACTTGAACCATGCATAGTAGCTATTGTTCTCCCTGTTCTACAGCTGAGGGAACAAGGTACAGAGGTGATCAGGCTGCCCCAAATCACACAGGTGGAGCTGGGCTTGGAAAACCTGGCTGCTTCCCAGAGCCTACAGTCAGACTGGGTCTCTCTGCCCTGCTGTGGTGTCATGTTTAGTACTTTCCATAGGCTGCTGTAAGCTTCCTTGGTTTGTTTCTGTGACTAGGAGCTCCTCAGGAGCAGGAACCTGGCAGGCCATTTCTGGATTTCCAGGCAGGCCTGCCCAGCACAGGGCCTGGCATGGAGTAGGCTGAGTTGAGAGCAGGGGAATATCTGCTCCTCTCCCCACTCCCTGGTCTGGAGTTTTTAGTACTACTCATCTTTCCCTGCTCGCCTCCTACAGACTCCACTTACTGAGGACCACTCAGGGCTGAGCAAGGTGGCAGGGGTGCTGGCCCTTGTGACTCCTGGCTTGGAGTCAGGGAAGAAGGGGCGTTTCGTGGTTCTTACTGCATCCACTGCTTAGGAACCCAACAAGGCCTTGAACTGTGGGACCTTGTTGCTGATACTGCCAAGGCCTGCCATCATTCTTGGCTCATGTCCATCTTGTGCTGGTCAGTGTCCTCAAAGACAATCTCCCCTGCCACTCTTCATTCTACTCCATCTTCATGTCTTTCTGTTCCTGCTGGGACATGGAGCTTCTAGCATGTATCCTGGTTTGTCCAGAATAGCCCCTGTTTGTTCTTTTTTTTTTTTTTTTTTTTTTTAAATAGAGTCTTGCTCTGTTGCTGAGGTTGGAGTGCAGTGGTGCCATCTTAGCTCACTGCAACCTCTGCCTCCCAGGTGCGAGAGATTCCCTTGCCTCAGCCTCCCAAGTAGCTGTGATTACAGGCATGTGCCACCATGCCCGGCTAATTTTTGTATTTTTAGTAAAGATAGGGGTTTCACCATGTTGGCCAGACTAGTCTCAAACTCCTGACCTCAGGTGATCCATCCGCCTTGGCCTCCCAAAGTGCTGGGATTACAGGTGTGAGCCACCACACCCAGCTCCCTGTTTGTTCTTGATGTTCCAGTGTAACTATTAATAATGTCTTTTTTCTAGTGTGAAAAGTGTCCTGGGAGGACAATTAAATTAGATGGTCACTGTCCACCAGGGTCCACTGGCCCAACTCTAGTCCCAGTCTGTCATTAACATGCTGATGGCTCTGAGGAGGCCATTTCACCTTTTCCAGGACCTTGTTTTCCCATCTGAAAAATGTAGATTAGACTCTTTGGAGTGTTTCTGAGGGGCCCTAAGGGTCAGCCTTGGGCCAGTGGTGCCAGCCCTCTGGCTAAGTGGGCTGGGCATAGGCCAGGGGGTAGGAACTGACCTCTCGCTGTGTGGGGAGTCGCGAAGGGAGTCCACGGAGTCATGGTAAGGTGGCACGGTGGCCCTGCGCCGCTCCTCCAGGTTGTAGGCTGCTGCCCGCCTTGCCCGGGCCTCCACACATGCTGGGCTGTTGCATTTGCTGGTACCCACTGATGATAGCATGATCCCTGACTGAGAGTCGGAAGTCAGGCTCTCAGAACGTTCCAGGCTCCACGTGTGGCTCTCGTGTCTGGGAAAGCCAGATGGGGTGAGACGAGGGGTCAGGAAGGGGCAGGGCTGCCCAGCAGGTGTGGTTCCATGGACCTCCCTGGCTCCTCTTCCACCTCGAGCTCCCTTAACTCAATGCCCTTCTCCACTCTGGGGTGATGTGGATTGTTGCAAATGCCCAACCCCAGTATTGGAAGAAGGAGGGCTGGGGTCCCATGCATGGGTGAGCTGTAATGTGCAGAGACCCATTTCTTTCCTCCCTGCAACCAGCCTCCCCCCAGCCTTACCTTAGACCTCCTGTCTGACACCCTACCACCACCGTGGTCCTTAGCTACCTAGCTCAGAAGCCCAGCCCCAGGGGCCAGTATGTGAGGGCCCTGACTATTTCCTGGTGCTCCCAGGGAAGAAGGGAGCCAGCCATGTTATTTTTGAGCTGTCTGAGCCTTTGTGCTGTGTGGACTGGCCTCTGCAGTTCTGGAGAGGGGGCTAAGGTGTGCTGTGATTCCTGTGGCAAACTCAGGGGAGGGTATTGAATAGCTCTGGATGTCGGAGTAAGTGGGCACTTTGCGCCCGATGAAGTTTTTGAGTCTACAAGTTTCCATGGGCCTTGGTGGTGCCTACCTGTGGCTGGAGGTGGGCGTGGCTGTGGAGCAGTGGTGAGAAGGAGAACAGGAGTGGCTCCCAGAGAAGGTGGTCTCAGTTTCTCTCCTGATGACATGGTCTGTGGCTGGCACGTTCTTGGAAATATACTGGAACAGACAGAGTTGGGTGAGAGTTAGTGACTGGGGACCAAATCAACTCTTTCTTGTTGGGGACAGGGAAGTGATGAGCACTGACTGAGCTCCTGGTTGGGGAGACCCACTGGGTGACAGTGACTTGATGTTGGGGCAGCGATGGCTCCAGCAAATCAACCCCCACCCCTTCCTTATGGAAGTGAGCAAAGCAAGGCCAGCCATCCTGATGAGGCAGTGCCTAGCAGGCAAGGCTGGCCGTGGGACAGGCTGGCTGCTGCCCTGACCCATCCTTGCAGGGGGCATGAGAAGGCTGGCTGTCCACTGAGGGCTCAGAAGGGGGCTCAGGAAAGCCACTCACATCTGCCATCTGGATCTCCTCTGGGTCCAGCCGGGGGTGGCTGGGCCCATTGGCCAAGCTCCGGTTCTGGTGAGCCGGGCACATGTTCTGCCGGAGGTGGTTGTGCATCTGCTTCCGCTGTTTTCTGCACAAGGGAAGGGAAGGTGAGACTGGCATTCCCCCCACTCGCCGACGATGAACTTCCCTAGCTATCTCCCTAGGGAAACAGCTTTTCCCCCGGCCCAGGGCGGCCATGGCTACTGCTCTTCCCTGTACTCAAGCTGCCCTGCAGCATCACCACCACCTGAATCCAACAGGACCTGAGCGTCGTGGCAGTGAGCTTTGGCTCTGCCCAGAGAGTAGAACTTCGCTCCTTTCTAGCTATGCAACCCCGGGCAAGTTACTTAAGCTCTCCATGTTTCACTTTCCTCATCTATAAGACAGGATGATCATTTATCTGTTCCAAAGACTATTGATGATTAAAAGTATATGAAATATTCAAGCACAGTGCTGACTCCCTCTCTCTCTCCCTCATTCATTCATTTGGTATTTATTGAGTTGTCACTATGTGCCAGACACTGTTTTGGAGCAGAGAAGATAGATAGGTAGATAGGGAATCCATCCTCCTGAAACTTGCAGGCCAGTAGAGGAAGCAGATGGTTAACACATAAACAAAGAAATGAACTAGATATTTTCAATGAAGTGCCATGAAGAAAATAAAATGGGTGCTGTGGCTAGGGAGTCAGGGCCTGTGGGACTACTTCAGATTGGCACATATTAAATGCTCAATTTATTTGATATTAAATCTAATCATGTCCCTCCCCTGTTTAAGACCCTTCATTGTGAACTCATGGAGATAGAGAGTAGAAGGATGGTTACCAGAGGTTGGGAAGGGAAGTGGGCGGTTGGGAGGGAGGTGGGGATGGTTCATGGGTACAAAAACTAGTTAGAAAGAAGGAAAAAGACCTAGTATTCGATAGCATATGGGGTGACTATAGTAAATAATAATTTAATTGTACATTTAAAAGAGTATAACCGGATTGCTTGTAACACAAATGTCCATGAGGACCCATCAGTTTGCTCAAGGTCACAAAGGATAAATTCTTGGGTGGATGAATAGAATACATGATATGATTATTATGCATTGCATGCCTGTTTCAAAATATCTAATGTACCCTATAAACATATACACCTACTAAGTACTTGCAAAAATGAAAATAAAACCCCTTTATTGGGCCTTAGTGTCCTGATTCTCTCCCAGCCCTGTCTCTTGCTGCCCACCCAGCACCCCAGCTAGCTGCCTCTGTGGTGAGCTTGTTTCTGATCCCCCACTATACCCTGCCCTCTCTGGCCTCCTGGCCTTTGCGCATGCCAGGCCATTCACCTGGAATATCTCTCCTCTTCACATGCTAACTCTTGTTTACCTCTCAGGCCCTGGCCTAAATGTTGCTTCCTCAGGGAAACCCTTCCTGCTCCCCAGCCAAGGTTAGGTGCCTCTATAAGGTGTCCCATGACACTGGACCACTTGCTCAGAGCACCGGCCATATACCTGAGGCAGGGCCTGGTGTCCAGCAGGCACTGAATGAATGTTTGTTGAAGAAGTGAGTAAATGCATTGGGGGCAGGACAGGCGGCTTGCTTTTTCTCCAATTCTTGGACTCAGTTTTCCCTCTTGGGCCCAGTCTCCTCTGGGCTCACTGGGCCCCAACTCCCTCCTCACCTTCCTCAGACTTTCTGGTCCTGGATTCATTCAAGACAAGGCCAGCAGGACTTCAGATGCCACAGATGGGGCAGCATGAGTCCAGACGAGGGGCTCAGTCCCCAGAATGTTAGCTCTGTCCAGTCCAGACCCTTGCTTTCCAGATATGAACAGTTGTTACAAACCTGTCATCTTTCAGTACATCAGAAGGTCACAGGGCCTTGGATGCCGAGCTAGGGAGTTTGGGTTTACCCAACAAAGGCTATAGATGTGCCTTTGTTGGATAAACCCAGGCACCCTAGCTTGGCATCCAAGGCCCTATGGTGCCATCTGGGTCCCAGCTATCCTTTTAGACTCATGCCCTCTTTTTTCCCATCCCTGGCCCTTTGCTCCAGCTAGTCTGGGCTGCTCATGCTCCGGGAGTACAGCTGACCCTCATCTGTGCTGTCTTTTAGCTTGTACTGCCCGGCTCCCTCTCTGTTCCCTTATTCTCCTTGCCCCAAGGTTCTGCCCCTGCCTCTCTTCTGCCCAGAGGGGGCCCAACCCCGCCTTCTCTGTCCTCTTGTGTCAATTGCTCCCAAGGTGGGGTCAGGCAGTGCTTTGAGGCATCTGTCTTTCTTTGGGAATGCAGCTGTCCTCTCTGCGCTCCTCCACAACACTACCTGGTGCCTGCCCACTTGACAGGGCGCCTGCTCCAGGAGCCTGTGGGGTCAGCTGCATGCTCCTGCTCAGGTCCTCACAGTGTCCTTTGAGGTACATACCAGGATCATTCCCATGAGGAACCATCAATTTGCTCAAGGTTACATGGGAAATAGCAGAGCTGAATTTGAACCCAGATTTGTCTTCTTCCAAACCCTGTGCTCGTGACCATTCTTCGTCAGTGCCCTGGGGCCTGTCTCCCCAACCCTCTGCCTCTACTTCTTTGGCCCCACACCTACCCAGCTGCAGAGGCCCCTGAGGGGTATTTGGGGCCTAGGAGGGTGTAGAGGCCTCCAGTGGAGTGGGGGAGGAGAGCCTCCTTCACAAACATTCTTGGAGGCCCATCCCTTGGCTTGGCCTGTCCCCAGCCCGAGTGCCTGACACTCACTTGGTCTTGCAGTAGGCCACCACACAGACGATGCCCACGACCAGCAGAGCCACGCAGATGCCCGTGATAGTCAGCACCCTCTTCTGGTACAGCTCTTCGGCTTCTGCAGAGGTAGGGGGGATGTGAGGGGTGGGGCAGGAGGCAGACCCCGTGGGGATAGTGGTGCAGAGACCCCTTTGCCCCCAAAGCCATAGGCTCTCCCCAGCTCAGGTCCTGCCCAGCTCCTTTCCATTCCTTCTCTCCCCAGCCAGTTCCTTCCCTCCTGCACGCTCTCTTTTGCCTTCCACTCTCCCACAGCTCCCGCCCACCCATGGATCTGGTCACACACAACTCCCCCTGAGTTCCCCTCCCCAAGCCCCATGCCTGCCCAGAGCACATGAGTGGAAAATGCAGGGGAATGGGAAGGGATGGAGTGGAGGCAAAGCTCCCGAGGCTGTAGAGCAGGGGAGGACAGCCCAGTCTGGCAGGCAACCCTGCCGTGCTCCACAGTGGTCTGGTAGCTGCAAAGAACCTTGGTGGGCCAAGAGGAGTTGTTTTTCATGGTAGTGATCATGGGAATGCCTTTGTCTATCCCTGCAGCCTGGTCAGGGTGTGGCCCTGGCCCACACCAGGCCTGCTGTCTCTGCTTGTGAGAAGCCCGCCAGTGGCACCATGGACCCCTGGCATCTAGGAAAGTACTGGTGTGCAAGGAACAGACCCCACCCTTGCTGAGGAGCTGAGCTAGGCTGGGCCTCAAAGCCCTCCCAAAGGCCAACTGTCCTCTTTACCCTCTGCTGCTGCTGGGGCAACCCCCATCCTTCTAAAACAGAGAAAGCCAGGAGGAAGGAAAAGTAAAAGGTGACAGCACTAGCTATAGTCAAGGCTACAGCCCAGAGACCCCACCCCTGCACACCACACCTGCTGGCTGTCCCTCCACACTGTGCCCTCCTCCCAGCTCAGGGGGAAGTGGAGGCTGGACCTCAATGCCTTGGCGGAGCCCTGGGAAATGTCCCTAACCTCTTGGGCTTGCAGCATATCCTGCGGCAAAGGTGTACACACCAGGAAACACCCAGGGCTACAAACCCTCCAGACACACAGATATTTCTAACTATGCCTATCTGATTCACAGACAGACCCCTTCACTCACACACACACACCTGCACAAACATATGCACACACACAGAGTTAACACACTCCAGCCATAGGTGCATACACACGGCCATGCCCACTGACACAAAGTTGGATCGAGTTGTAAACAACCAGACCTCCACCCTAGGTCCCCATCTCTTGGCTCTGTGCCCACAGCCCTGGCTCTAGCTCTCACGCCCCATTCACCTGCCTCACAGTCAGGCATGTGTCTCCATCACTCCTCTGAGACCACTCTGGTCACAGGCACCAACAACCTCCAGGCCACCAAGTCCTGAGGTCACTTGCTTCCTTCCCAGCTGATCCCCTCCTTCTGGGGCCCACTCCCCCTGGGCTTTGGCATGGTTCTCTCCCTCCTACTTCACTGGCTGACCTGTCTCTGTCTTAGCCATGCTTTCATCTCTTCTACTGGCTGGGAAGGTAGAAGGGCCTGGGCTCAGGTTTCTTTCTTTCCTGCACCTGCCCTCTCTCCCTTAGTGATTTAACTCAGACTCAGATTTTAAATACCATCTATTTGCAGACTCTCAAATTTATATGTCCTGCCCTGACTGCTCCCTGAAGTCTGATTGTGCCAGATGGCCCTCCATCGAGTCTGCACCCATTGGCAGCCTCTGTCCCATCAGACATGGATGACAGGACTGGTTCCCCTCACTCCATGCTGTTATCAGACTTGTTGAGTTTGCCATTCCAGGGGGTGAACTGTGCTGTCTCAGTGTAGTTTTTATTTCCATTTCACTCATGAGTGAGGTTGAGCATTTTTCCTATTGGAGTCATCTGTGTTCCCTTTCTGCTTGCTATTCATGTCCTTTTCTCTGCAGGCATTTTATCACTTGCATCCTGCTTGGGCCGTTTTGGGTTCCAGACTCATGCATCCAAGGGTCATGACCAAACAGAACCCCTGATTCCTTACCCTCTTTCCAAACTCTTCTTCAACTCTTCCCAGCTCATGGGTGCAGCACCACTTTTCCTGTTGCTCAGGGCCCACACCTTGGGCTCATTCTTGATTACTCCCTTTCTTCCCACCTACCCTGATGCCAGATCCAGCTGCAAGTCCTCGCAGCTCCTCTTCCCAAGTAGATCCTGGGTCTGATTGAGCCTTACCATTTCCATGGCTTCCAACTTAGTCCAGGATGGTGTCACCTCTCACCTGGAGATGGTCACCTTCTGACGGGTCTTTCTGCTTCCACTCCTCCCCACCCTGCCCCCAGCCCAGGCTATTGTCCATCCAAAGCTACATTTATTTACAGCCATAAAGCAGATCATTTTACTCCCCTGTTTAGAAACTCAAGACGGTTTCCCACTGCGACTCGAATGCAACCCAAAGCCTTACCATGGCCTCTGAGGCCCCCGGCTGCTTGGTCCCAGCCTTCCTTTTGGATCTCATCTGTGGTCCTCTCCCTGTGTTCACTGTGCTTCAGAGCTGCAGGAAGTCTCTCCATCCACTGAACAAGGCAAGCCCACTCCAACCACACGATCTCTATACCTGCTGTGCCGCCCTCTGCAGGACTCCCCCCTGGTTGTTTACAGGGTTGGCCACTTTTCATCAGGTCTTAAAACAGATGTCACCTCCTCAGATAAGCCTTCCCTGACCACTTAGCTACACTAGCACCCCACTCCAGCCAGGCACTATCCCATTACCTCATTTTATTTTCTGTGCAGCACTGAACACCACCTGATGTCTTTCCTGTTTGCTTGTCACCTGTGAATGTGAGCCCAGGAGGGCAGGGACTGTGTGTCGGGTAAATTCTGTTCCATAGATGTTTGTTGCATTGGTGAGTGGGTGAATATACAGACCAGCCTTATAGACACTGACATATGTGCACACTCACACTCATCTCCACGCACTCACAGTTCCACCTGCACAATGTTCAACCCTTGACACAAAGGCATTCCACAGCCCCTCCCACCTGCTGCCAATCCTGCCCTGAGAGACCGCACAAGGTATATACTCTCAACAACACACACGTACCTGCAGATTCACCCCTGTGCATCCTGCCACCATCACAGACCCCACATAGACTCAATGCCTCTCCCACCACCCCATCACAGCCAGTTGCTATAGACGGATGCACTCTTACACACAAGCTTTGCAATCTATCTTCTACTGAGAACAGCTGATAGAGGATAGGTGGTGGTGCTAGGAGGCCTCCCCAAATCAGCCACGAGAGCAGCCTTTCCATAATGGTAGGCTCTGTACTACGTCTGAGATCCCACCCCACCGCAGCCCCCACCTTCTGAGCCCCTGCCTCTCTCCTGTTGTCATATGCCTGGACACTTGAGACTATGGATGAGCCTCCCGGCACAAAGCCAGAGAGCCAGAAACACTAACCCCTTAAAGTCCCTTCTAGCCCAAGGAGTCTTCCAGGGGCCAGAGGGTGGTAGTAGCAGATGGCAAGAAGACACATTTAAGATTCTGAGCTGAGAGACAAGGGGCAGGTCCTAGAGGCCAGCCCAACCCAGACCCCGGCTGGTCTTGCCAATGTGGGGTCAGATCATGGAGGGAATGACAGCCTCAAGCAGATGGCAAAGCCGGGCAGACAGACACAGGGAAGGGACAGAGGCAAATAGAGTTATCAGCTGCTGGGCTGGTGCAGGATGAAAAGCAATGGACATGGAAATGGGGAAAGGAAAGAAGACTGAAGTCAAATGGAAAGGGATGCCTCTCTGCACAACTCTCGAAACCAGGCTTCTGTGGTTCCTGGACACCAGCCCTTCGAGGGGCCATGTTCACACGTGGGGCCTGTCTCTTGTCCAGCCAGCCTGTGGGGCTGCACTCAGCTCAGGAGAGGACCCTCCCCTCTGAGCCTTCCTAGCAATAGATCTCCCCTATGTGAGGGATGCTACTGTACACTGAGGGCCACGGTCCGAACCCCTGAGTGCCCTGTTGTTCGTGAGCTTCTTTCATCTCCTTCTAAATCAACATAGTTTATGATAGGACATCTTGATGGGGCCAGGAGAGATTTTTGGAATCATCCCTTGTCCATTTTTTGGAAAGGAAACCAAACATTCAGCACACATGGCATCGGAGGCTGTGAAGAGGGGCCACGCAGATGGTGCTGAGTGACACACAGAGGTTTCATACCCTTTAATTCAAATCCAAGGTGCTCTGGCAGTGCAGAAGAGAGGAGGGTCAGAAAGGGAGGGGTGGAGGGAGAGAGACAGGTGGACAGGGATAGGGGGAGAGAGAGAGACAGAAACGTTGGTCAGGACTCCTCAGACACCGGGCAGCCAGCCTGTGAGGTGAAAGCAGGTTAGTAGTGTCCCCTCCCAGCCTCCTGAGCTCCTTCCCTGACACCCAGTCCCCAAGAGCCCCAAGGAGGGTAGAGAGAGGAGATGTTAGAAACAGCAGGCAGGGCAGGCTCTTTAGAGATGAGCTGTGGGGTTAGTACCTGGTGGGGAGGCAGAGGCACAAGAGTCAGTTGGCAAATGTCCCTGGGAGGAAAGGTAAGTGGGGGTGGGGTCTCAGGAGCTCCCCTGCTCCTCCCAGCGGTCAGTGCCAGCCCTTCAGCACTCTCAACTCTCAAGCCTTCCTGCAGACAGCTTGCCCAGCTCCCTTGTTGGGGGCCCTATTTTTTTTTTGTTCAGAGTGCAGGCATGAGGTCCCCAGACTTGCCCCATGTCCCTGCTCTGCCCCACAGACCAAGCTGGCCTGTCTACCTACTGGGAGCCCGGGTGGGGAGCCTCAGAGTCTGTGGGAGGGAGCAGGAAGAGGAAGAGGAAGAGGATGAGGCTCCAGATAGCAGGTCACTTCTCTACTTGACACCCCAACACCCTAGAAGCCTACAGGGCTGAGTCATGGTGCCTGAGCCTGATTTCACTACCAAGAAGAGCAAACTGCAATTCACAGGAAGAGACAAGTGGGTTCACTTGTAGAATGTCTGAGCTCCTCAAATGGTGGACAAATGACAGTCTTGGAAGTGGGATCGTGTTTTGAATGTGTGATTTCAGGACCCTGTGATGGAGACCTCCACATCACTGAAGGGTTAAATAAAAGGACCCTGACTCAAGGGTCAGCTCTGCACTGACCTACTGCTTGCTGTGCCACCCTGAGTGACACCAATCTAGTTAAGTCTCAGTCTCTTATCTGTTACGTGGGCATCAGGCTGGGGCATAGGATCCCAGGAGGTTTGCAAACCTGGCTGAGCTTCTGAATTGTCCAGACTGAGGAAGTCTGGCTCTGAGGTGGGAGCCCAGAAATCTCAACAGTGTTTTTAAAAAGCTCACCTACCATTCTAATGTAGCAGCCAGCATCGGTCTACAGGCCTGGAGTCTCAGTTTCATCCCTAATTCACTATGTGGATGTGGGTAAGCCATAATCCCTGTTTCCTTGTCTGTCCAAAGTGCTTGCACACAGCTAGAGGAAGATGTGAACAAGCCTGGAAGGCATGAGCTCAGCACGCGTGCAGGGCCCCGCTCCTCCTAGCCTGGATTTGCTGACTCTCTGGCTTCCCCAGGTGCATAGTCAGCTCCATTAGATCCACGGAGGGTGTGACACTGTGTCTGATATTGTCATCTGCCTCGGAGGAAGGCGAGCACGTGGCAATCTGCAGGAAGTCCTACGCATTATCCGTCCCTGGACCTCTCGTCTACTTCCTGATAGGGATTCCAGACGGTTCTGCATTTGGAAAAGGGCAGGAGAGCAGGGTGGCTCTGAGCCAAGGACTGTGATGGCTCTGACTAAAGAGCCTGGAGGAAGATCCTGGGGCTTCAACCCCCCAGTTCCATGCAGAGACCATACCAATGAAGCATTCATTACTCCTAGCCCTTCCAGACACAAGCCCTTCTTGTACAGCTATTAAATCCCAGGTTGGGGAGTGAGCTGGACGTTTTGGTTTCTTTGCAGTCCCACTCTGACTGCTTGGAGGCAGGAAAAAGTTGCCCTAAGTATAGTTTGTCCACTCCTCTCCAGGGTGTCCCAGGGCTGGTCAGGCGTGCTGAGTAGACAGCACAAACTTGACAATTCTCAAAGAATCCTGGCACACCTCTCACTGAGTAGTTAATGCTGTGGCCCAGGGACCCTTCAGGCAGCTGGAGAGCTCACATTATTTGGATATCTAGCCCTGCTGCCCTAAGAAAACAGCCCAGGTTGACCACAACACCTGGGACGCAAAGAGGATTGGGTTCATAGAGCTGGTCTGGGCCCCACTTTCCGACGAGGTTGTTGTATTAGATGAGGCAGCTGAGGCCCAGTGATGCTAGGACACTTTCCCAAGGTCACACAGCAAATTAGGAGGCAGAAGGGAGACTGGAGGCCAGATCCTTTGGTCCCTTGGTGCTAAGCCATGGCTTTCCTGCCCACTGAGTTTCTGGGCAGGCCTGGCTGGGTATTGCTGAGGACAATGACCATCTGGAGAAGTGAGCAGGGCTCCCAAAGCTCTTTAAGTGTTTTCTTCTGTGTCACTCCTCTGGGAACCGAATAGTAGCAGCTGCAGCTTCTAGGGCTCCTAACTGGCCTCCTGTTTGAGTCAAAGGCCAGTACTGTTTAGAGTGGTGGCTGGCATGATTGATGGGGTCACTGAGGGCTTGGCCAGTCACTGGGTAGGCAGCTTTCTCACTGGGAAGCGTGGGATGGAACATGAGGGGCCTATGGCTGTGTCCGCCCCAGCAAAGAGAAGATCTTCCCACTCATTATGTTCATTGGCTGCCACTCAGTGAGGGTGGAGTGGCACCACTGAGTCACAGGAAGGTCCTATTAACCAGAAATTTGCATATTGACCAGTAACCATGGCAACCTGATGCTGGACTCCTGACAGGGCTGTGCTTACCAGACAATATGCAAATTCTTCATCCTGGACATGTCCCATGACATACAGTCATAGGGTGCCTGGACAAGGAGGCAGATGTGTGTACAGATGTGAGCATGAGCTCCTGCGTTTGCACATGTGCTTGCAGGTGTGAGCACATGCTCATGGGTTTGCGCATGTGTGCAGGTGTGTAAGAACATGATTGTGTGTGCATGTATGAGCCCGTGCTCACACGTTTGTGCTTGTATGTACAAGTATATGTGCTCTTTTACATGGGGACATAAAGATGGACAAGCTTTGACCTATGGGGAGCGGAGGGGCTGTTTGTGGAAGAAAGAGAAGCTTCAATGTGCTATTGCAGTCACAGGCTCTTTCCTTGATCTCTGCAAAAGATAACCTGGTCTAGATGCTATCTGGGCAGGGTGTGAAGGTTGGACACTTTGCTCAGGATGTGCTGGGAGTCAGCCCCTAGGGGCCTGATGCTGCCCACCACCCCCATACCAGCTGTAGCTGGGAGAGGTACTAAACTGCACTCCAATCACGATGGCAGGCTCTCTGCTAAGCCCTTCATATGCAGCAGTTCATTTCATCCTCACAGTAACCCCACAGGCATAAATGTCATCATCCCCATTTTACAGATGAGAAAACAAATTGAGAAGTTAAAGAGGCCCCAGAGCTAGTAAGCTCAGCAGCTGGCATTTTTACTGAGGTCTCTTTGAATCCGAAGCCTGAACACTTAAGCCAGCACTTTACACTACCTTTTCAGTAATTATCTGCTAGAGCAGTACATGAAGTGCTCTCTGGGAAAGTGCTTGAAGAGCATAAATCCTTTACGAAAAGGTAACAGTCAAGCTACTGAACACACTAGGCAGAAGGGCCTGGACTGCCTTTGCGGGCTCTTTTCTGGGCTCCTGGGACCCTGCTGACCTTCCTAGCAGATTTAGGCTGAACGCTGAAGCAGCCCAGCTGGCAGAGAGGCCTTGGATAGCGGCCCGGGTTCCGGAGGCTCGGCTGCTCTGATTCAGGACAGGCTGGGACTCCCCGTCCAGAACAGTCCCACAAGCCTGGGAGGCTCTCTGCCAAGAGGAATATTGCCCCACTGTCTCTCTCACCTGGCCCCCAGCTCTGCCTGGGCTCTGCCTTCTCCTGGGGGCCCTCCTGCTCTACAGTCCTGCACTCAGGGCTGGGTATGACTCTGAAATAATTGCAGAGCCTGCGTTCTAGAGAATTCTGTTGGGCCACATATCCTGCCCACAGGCTCTGCCCTTCCTCCTTGGCCTCCCACACTCTATTAAGATAGTTGACCATCTGGGCCAAGCAGCTCCCATCCCCCAGGGGTCTCTACGCCCCTGTGGGGTTGGGGTGGGGAGTAACTTGCTGACCTTTTGTGCTGTGGTCTGAGGAGGACTGGGAAGGATCATTTCTCCACCCTGAGACCTAAATCCCCAAACCCCTTTTCTCCAAGGGCTACCTACATGGTCCCCTGGATCCCACCTTCAGCACCTCCCAGAGTTCTACCTCCCAGTATCCAGTGCCATATGGACACTCGGCTCCAAACTCCTCTTTGGGCCCAGCTGTCCTCCCTGGAGAAGAGGAGGTGGCGGGCGGGGGGTGGTGGCATGCAGGGGCCTAGCCTGCTCTGCAGGATGGGATGGGTGACTGGGGACAGGCCTTGCAAGCCAGCGGACCCCTGGTCCTCAAGCAGAATCAATGACCGGCCAGAGGCTTTTCGTTCTGCTCCACCCCCACCTGGCGGTGCTGGAAGGAACTGCTCTCAGGCCCCAAATAAAAAAAAAACAACACTCCATAATTATGGTTGGGTCCTTGGGCCTCGGGGCTCACTTTTCTTTCTTCCTTCCTTTTCTTTTCTTTTTTTTTTTTTTCTTGGCAAACTGTGCAAAAGAGAAAGCTCCAACCTCAGAAGTTGAAGAAAGGAAGGGAATAAAATCCTAGATGGGAAGATACAGACCACAGAGGTGCTGGAGTCATCAGTTACCCCTCAATTCCTCATTTCCTCAACTTTTTAGCATCTCCAGCACCAACTCCTGCCCCCTCTCCCACCATCCTGTAGCCACATAAATATCTTTGGTATTCATGGAAACCATTGCCCTGGGTCCTGCTCTCCCTTAATTCCTCTTCCTTCCCTCTACCCCATTTCCAAACCCTCAAAACAAACAAACAAACTCTGGCCAGACTGGAAAATGGGCTTTCTGAGAACTTTTTTTCTGTCTCAAACACGTAGGCATACACACGCACACACTCACTGCCAGCCCCATCGGTACCCTCAGGCAGCCTTCAGAGGCAGGGGAGGGTTCCGCAAATGCTTCCTCCCATTCTGGCCAGGCTGCCTGACCCCAGAAGTCGGGAGGAGGCCTGGGTGTGGCCCTGGCTGCTTCAGAGAGAACTTGGCATTACTGTGCCCAGGAGGTACAGTCCACACGTGGAGGTGGGGGTGCCAGGGGGCGTTTCTGTCTCCTCTAAGGAGCGCAGGACACCCTCTGCATCTCCCCGTAGTCTTGCTAAGCAAGGCCCCATCCCTCCCCAGGGGGAGACTGTCAGTCACCAGGGAAGAGAAGAAATAGAAGAAAGAGACATACTGGAGAAGTTGACCATTGCGAACTGCTGACACCTGTCCCCGGTGTATCCCACAGGACACCTACCAAAAGAAAGAAAACCAGAAAGAGAGAGCCAGGATAGCAAGACACAGGCATTGCAACACCCCGGCACGGGCTCCTGCCAATGCCAGCTGGGTTCCTTGCCACCGTTACCATTTGTATTGGCCTTGCCACTCTGCCCCTTACCTGCAGCCCTGAACTTTAAACCCAAGGATTAGGCCAAAAATGAAAACAAAGCAAAACAAAACAAAACAAAACAAAAAGAACTAACAAACCAAAATACAAAAAAGAAAAGAGAAACAAAACAAAACAGCCAAAGATCAAAACAACCAACACCCCTGGCCCTATGCCCTACATTGGGGGGACTGCACCCGGAAGCTTTCTAAGGAGCAGGGACTTGTGTTTGTATCTTCAAACATACTTTGCTTAGGATCTGGCATGTACAATCGCAAAGGCAGTTTCTCCAAACATCTCTGTCCGAAGAATCCATTTGGACATCTGGAGAAGGAAAAGGGGAAAAATCACAGAACAAACTGGCATCATCCGCGAGGCTAAGGTTAGAAATCAAAGTGCACAGTGATGAATGAGAAAAACCAAGTCAGGCACTTGGGGTCATACTTGTAGCTGAAGGGACTGGAGTCAGGGCTGGGTGGAGGGCTCTGAAATCTCCTCGAAAATCTGTCTAATAGATGTGGCTCCATGGGTGGTGGGGAAGGTGGGGTGGGTCGGGGGGAGGATGATTTAGGTAAGTGGGGTGAGGGAAGATGGGAAGTTGTCCTACTGGTCACTGAGACTTTCCTTCTTACCTGCCTGGTGCCCCATGAAGCAAGAACTGTGGCCTCTCGGTGCCAGGCAGTCAGTCAGCTGGCAGGGATCTGGGAGCCTTAAGGAATACCAAGTTCTTGGGAGCTACTCCTCCCAGGACCGACTGAAGGATTCTCTCCTGGGCCCTGGGCAGGTTTTCTCCTCCAAGAAACAGCCCCCAGAAAACTCAAATAACTCGGGAATGCTGTTCCCAGACTATGTATGTCTATGACAAAAGTGACCTAGGGGATATTTTATCTTTCTTTCAAAGAGGGTTCTGTGGCCAAATCAATGTAGGAAATACATTCAGGGTGCCCTGTAGAGTTGCAGTGTACCTTCACCTATGAAAGACTATGAAAGTTTCATAGGAGGAAACAGCTGAACTTTCCATGTAAGTTCTCAAATTTATTTGTGTTTCAAATTTATTTCACCATGGATATTGTTTTTTGAGGAACCCTTGTAGAACATGGTTTGGAGAAGGCTGCCCCAGTGCAATGTACATGGGGAAAGCTTAGTAGGGAAATGGGAAGCTGGGGAGGAGTTGGAATTATCAGCATCCCAAAGTGGGCCTTCCTGATACCAGGTGCAGGGAATCTGGCCTCAGGTGGCAAGGACCACAAAAGGGATTGGAGCAGGCTCACTGGGGGACCCTGGAAGCCTGGTCCACCTCAAGGTCCTAGCGGCAGCCAGCCTGCGAAACTCTTCCATTTCCCCATGACCTGTTTCTCCATCACTGCCTGGCCCTGCCCTGGATCTCATTCTCCGATCTTGCCTTGCTTACAGCTCTAGAGCAACACCCACTCAATCTCCCTGACCTTGTCCCTACCCCCAAGGTACACGTTCTTCTGCTTTCTGGCTGCCACCCCTCTCCTCAAGCGAATCTCAGATTTCTTGCAGAAGTCTTGCAGATTTCTGGAGGACATTCCCACCCCGTACTCTCTTCTGAACCCTAGCAAGGCTAGATACCTAAGGAGAAGCTTACAGGGAGGGCTAGACCCCTTCCCCACATCCCTACTCAGACATGGGTCTATATTGCCTCTGCATCTTCTTCCTTAGGAAAGTAGCTAAGTTCATCACCAGTGTCCCCCTCAATAATAGGCTACCGTTCAAAATTAATCAATGTAAACTTCCTCAAGAGGCAAGTGTACTCTACTTCTTAGCATTGCAGTATATAGCAACCGTCAGGAAGCCACTTAGGCTTACAGTAAGTGGTAGCTATTGGTTGTGACAGATACTCATGAACATCCTGTGACCTCAAATCTGGAGGAGTGGGGAATGGGAGTGGTGGGTGAGCAGAGGGCTGGAGTTTCCTTGGGCCTTGATGGCGTCTCCTCCAGGGGAGACAGGCTGTTTGTCTTGTAGTGGTAGGATTGTGTGAGCAGGTATGCCTGGCTAATCAGGGGGTGGTGGAGGGCGGGAAGTGTGTCAGGGAAGTGGCATGGGTGGGGAGAGGGTGCATGCTCATCTTGTTGAACAGGGTGGCTTGGAGGAGGAGACTGCCATTAGCTCCCTTGTCAACACATCCTTCTCTGATCCCTGGCCCTTGTCTCTATTCATCCCAGATCAGGAAAATGGAGATAGTGGCTAAGGCTTCCCAACAAGCTCCAGCCAGGCTCAGCTCTTGGAAACTGATGTCTACTTGTGATGGGGACTAGAGGGGTAGAAGTGATTTTCAAACGTAAGTGCCTTTGGGAGTGGAGGATGAAGACCCAGGAAGTTGCCAAAATGACTCTTGGGTTCCACAAAGGAACAAGAAAGAGATAGATGTGTCTGTGTCCAGTGTCTGAGATCAGCCCAGCTCTTGGAGGCAGGGAAACCTGTGTGTGTGTGTGTGTGTGTGTGTGTGTGTGTGTGTGTGTGAGAGAGAGATAGAGAGTGGAGGAGTACAGGGGCAGGAGGGGCAAGGGGAAATTTATTTCCATTGCTGACAAGCAGGGCTGCTGTCCTAAGACCTTTGGAGACCAACGATAACTCCATACATCCCTGTGGCCCTTATCTCACACCCAGCCTGGACTATGCTGACTACATCCTTACATCTTTCATGGCCGCTAAGTTGCACAACATTATAGTCCTAACCTTCCTTCCTTGAGAAAATATGCTCCCCACTGGCTGAACAAAGCAAAAGGCACTGGGGAGGGGCACAGTGAGGGGTGGTGGAAGGCTGACAGCTACTGCTGTTTTTTGGGGCGCTAGCTCCGTCAGGACACTCCTATTTTTCTCCTTAGTCCTGTTTGCTGGGGATGAGTCACATTCAGGAGGCTGGGGCTTCCCTAGAGAAGGCTTTGGGGGCGAGCTGGGCCTACAGCCTCTCTAACCTGCACCCAATACCAGGGTAAGAGAGTATGGGGTACATTAGCCTATGAACCAGGATAGGAGTCTGAACTCAGCATTGGGGGTGGGTGGTGGTTGGTGGTTCCCACTGAAACTGGGATTGACCCTCTGATTTTCAGGGGGCACAGAGGACAGATTAGAAGGAGCAGCGGGTAACAGCCTTCCCAGCCTTTCCCACCAGGTCATCGGCTATGACTCTGGGAAGGTCTGTCCCCAGGGCTGGAGAAGAGCAGGGTGAGAGAGGGGCAGAGAGGAGAGCCCATGGGCTGCATCTGGGGTGACAGAGAGGTCAGGACCTCTGCCTTCCCCTTTTCCCACCCCACCTCCCGGGCCTCAGTTTCACCTTTTGGTAGCCTGGGGATAATGCCATGTGTGCTGCCCTCACCCGGGGGAGGGGGTGGATGAAGGATGGCAGTGTGCCCCGGGCACTGGAGGGAGTGAAGGGCCTGTGAATTCATGAGAGGGGTGAAGATGTGGCGAGGATGAGCAGGCAGATGGGGGTGGGATGGGGAATCACCTGGACATGGGTGGGGTAGGGGCAGAGGGATGAGGAGGATGAGCTGATGGGAAGGGGAGGCATGCCACTGGTATGTGCACAGGGCTGGAAAGAGTCTTGTTCTGTCATCATCCCCTGAACCAGTCCCCAAGAGTCACGCACCAACCGTGCTCTACAAACACACGGAGAGAAGAGGAGAAAGCAGCAAGAGGGACTACACAGGCCCCTGTCTGGCCCAGACAGGGGACAGTCACCTTGATTTGGACTCCCATTTTCAAATCCCCCTACGTAGTCTTTTTTTAAAACAAAATTCAGTATCAGTGACACTGTTTCTTTTGGCACTGAATTCCAGAAAAACAGGAGGGACGGAGTGTGCCTGCTTTCCAACACTCCCTGCAGGGCTCTGAACCAATACACAACAACAAGTGTAAGAAAACCAGGAAGGAAAACTGATTTTTATAGAAACTGGAATGAAACTGACCAGTGTAGTTTCATTATCCAAGCTAAGCGGAAATGCAAAAAAATCAAAATAAAAAGTAAACAAACAGCACAAATGGTAAGACGTGAGTTCCGTTTCCTAAATTCTTTCCTTTTTATTCCATTCAGGTGTCATCAGGAACCCCAAGAGGCCTGCCCCCCTTCCCCCGCAGCTCGTCCACCCCCAGAATGGCCTCTGGGCTCTGCCCTGCCCCCCACCCCCCTGCCCTTCTCCAGCACAGCTATGAGGACCTGCCGTTCTGTCCGCATCTCCACCAGGGATGCCCTCTCCCCCGACGGCTGACAAAGGGAGTCAGGGAAGTTGGTTCCAGGAACCTTGACTGGAACCAGGGGAGGCCGAGATGGGGAAGTGGTGGCTCTGGGTACCAAGTTCTAAGCAGTGCAGCTTCCCTTCCCTGGTGGGGAGGGGAACAGGGCACCATCTTCACAATGGCTCAGGCTCCTGCCTCTGCTCCTCTCAGATTTAGCTGGGCAGGACTCAGAGGTCCTAGGGGTGCAACCTTGCTGGCAGGGCCCTCCTGGAGCCCATATATCTCACCATTCCCTTGCCCACACCGAACTCTAGCACTGGAGCCCTGGCCCCCATGGCCCTCCTCAGCCCTGGCACCTGTCCTGAGGGGCCAGAACCTTCCCTGCCTGGACGAGGGCTGACTTCAGTGACAGTGCTGGATCCCTTCAAGGTTCGGGGTCCAAGGGGCTAAAGAGACCTACCTAGTGTATATGTCACAGGGAGGAGGAGGATGCAGGAGACAAGGAAAGGGGGATGCAGGGCTGGGTCATCCCTGTGAGGTATTCCAGGACCCTGATGAATTTCTGGTAGATCTGTTCCAAAGAACTATGATCAACTTTCACAGCTAGAATATTCCCTAGGGTCTGTCATACTAACATGGCAGCCTCCTAGAGGCAGGAGGCAGGGAAGGATGAGGGGCTGAGTCTGCATTGAGAACTTCCCTAGAGGGCCTGTTGTTGCTATTGGGACTCTCCCCCTAAGATTCGGGGAGGGTGGGAAGGAGGTGGCAGCAGGGGCAGGGTGGGGCCAGGGAGGAAGTCAGCTGAGGAGGCCAGCTGGGGCAAGAGCCATGGTTCTGCCTGGCAGTGCGGGCCGGGTCACCCAGCACTGAGGTGAGCATAAAGGAGGCACGGTCCCTCATTACCATGTTGTTAGGTGGAGGGGTCTTGAAAAGTCCTGGCCTCCTCAGACCAGGCTCACATTCCCGAGCAAGGGTGTGTCCAGGAAGGGGGCTGTGGATCTGGAGTGGGAGATCAGAGGCATGCGAGCTGAGAAGTGCTGAGTCTGACCTTGCCTGGCGGAAGGTCAAACATCTCTCTTTGAATCCCCATCAAAGTTTTGGTGGCCTTTGCCCAGATGCCATGGGAATGGGGGCAGTTTTAGCACCTTTCCAGGGCTCTAGTCTTGGGCTGCTTTGAAACACTGAAGTTATTAACTAGGCCCCCCTCCTACTTCTCCCCTAGATCTGTCCAGAGTCTGTGCTGCCCTCACCAAGCTCCCCTCCCCTCCTCACACACTCACCAGAGAATCTGTCCAGGGGGTACTGTAGGCCCAGCTGCCCAAAAGATTTGACTGGGCCTGAACAAGCCCCCCCGACAGCCTCTCTCCCACCTGCCCCGTTTTCTATGGGGAGTGGGTGGTTCTGAGCTCCTTGGAGTTCCTGCTGGGGCCACCCTGCCTGGTTGGTGAGCAGGCTCTGGCCCCTGGGGAGGCTGAGAGGCCCCAGCCTGAGCCTCTCCTCCACCCTGACCTCCCCCATTGGGTCATACCTAGAGTGGTGTCCTTGCTGGCATCCCCTCATCCCATGGAGTGGGGGCTAGGGGCTGAAGGGGCACAGGCAGCACCCAGGGCATCTTTGTACAATGGGGTCCTGTAGGGCAGAAGGGCAGCCAGATCCTGAGGTCAGTACTAGGTTCTGGGCAGACCCCTCTTCTCCCCTCAAGACTACAGGAGCAAAGGGCTCTGGAACCTGTGCTCTGCCTGGCCCCACCAGGCTCCTCGCTACTGGGGAAGATGCAGCCTGGGAAACGTTCATTAAGAACAAAGTTTGGAGAGTTGCTGAGAGATGGGGAGGAAAAGATGGGGAGAAAGAGGGACTGAGGGAGGCAGAGAGAGAGAGAGAGAGACAGAGAGAGAGAGAGAAAAACCCAGTGCCCAGTGCCTAGGGCATAGACTAGCATCCCCATCTCCCTAAAGGGTGTTGGTGAAAGGGTAGACATCAGGAGATGGGGTGGATAGGGGCCTGGGAAATGGGGACTCCCCAAGCCCCTGCGCCCCTTAGAGCTTGTATCTCCTTATATTCCAGGAAAGGGCTAGGAAGTAGGGCAAAGCTTCCTGTCTACACCCCTTGGGAACCTCTTGTCAGTGGCTTGGAACCCTCTTTTACCAGAGCCCTCCACTTCTGACCCAGCATCTCCTACCCTGCTCTTGCCCCCAAGCCCACCCCTACTGGTCACTTACTTGCAGGAGAGCTGGTTGATGCCCTCGATGTAGTAGCAGACGCCTCCATTGACGCAATAGGACTTGGCTGTCTCGTTGCACTTCCGGGCGTGCCCCGACCAGGATGAGAGGGTGGTGCTCACTGAGGGTATGAGAGACATGTGCCAGTGACCCACTGAGACCATCTCTAGGTCCTAGGAATCATCTCCTTCATGCCCCATCTCAAAACTGGAAGATGACCAGAGGCTGCAGGAATGACCGGGGAGGGGAGGTCTGGTGGTCCCTTCTAGTCACCAATAAGGCAAAGGAGAGGCCACCATGAGCTCTGCCCGTATGCCCAGTGCAACCTTGCACCTAAGCTCTAGGCAAACTTCCAAAGGCCAGGAAGATTTTCATTCTTTTGTGGGGGGAGCAAGGTGAGATGAGAGCAGGAACTGCTTCCTCTGCTGAGTAAGGGCCCACCTCTCCCCTTCCCTGCCTGGCTTTCCGGGGGCTGCAGGTGGTTGAGATGCTGATGTCTCACGTGGTGAACAAACATAGGAGGCAGCGCAGGGAAGAGACACCTACACCACCTGCATGGCTTGGGCTCTCATGGTGGACCAGGGAGTGGCTGGAAGGGAGCTGGGCCTTCAGGGGATGGCACCTTCAGGACACGGTCATTTTCTAAGATCTGGAGAGATGTTGGAGGTAGGAGGAACCCCAGCTTCTACTCTCTTCCCCTTCTCCAAGGGCTGGGCTAGCTCCAAACCTCCCAGAAATGCTTCAAAGGCTACTATGCCCCATCTCCATAAGCATCTGGGGTCTTCTCCATATCTCCCCGCCCCAGACAGCCCCCTCCTCCCCGACCTCATCAGCTGTTGCCCCTAGAGGGAGCCTCCAGGTCTCGGACAGCCCCAGCCATAAATCATGGGTTTCAAGTTGTTGGGGAGGAGACAGGGCTGGGGAAAGGGAAGGGGGCAGCTGGGATGCGAAACTGGGGAAGAGCAAGGCTGGGCCTTAAGGCTGCTAGCGCAGACTGCACGTCCGATGGATTGGACTCATTTGAGAAATGAACATCACTGAAGCTCTGCTCCTCATCAGGGAATGGCATCCAGAAAGCTGGCTTCAAGTGAACATTCTTGCCCCAAACATCAGTTTTAGATAATGCCCCGTCCAATCCAGACTGGACAGCCAGAAGCAGGTCCTGCTCCCCTCAGCTCCCAGGGCCTCTGAGGGCCTCTCGCTCCCACGCAGCCCAGCAGTGGCCTCCTGAATGAGATGGCCCAAGCTACCCCAGCTGGCCCTGTCTCCTCAGGGGTACTGGGTCTCTCTCACTCCCCTCAGCAATGGGGGTGAAAGTGAGAGGAGGAGGAGGAGGGCAGGCACTCGGCGCCCTCAGTGTTTAGACATGTGGGGAGACGGATGGAGCGCGGGGGGCCAGGAGTGTATACACAGCTCTGCCTCTGTATATGTCTAAGGAGCATGCTGATAAAATCCAGCGGGCAGGGCCGGCTTCGCCGTCCCCTCCACATCATGCCTGCTGCTGAGCTGGCATCCCGGAGCCCCACCCCTGCTGAGGTCTCCCTCCTCGGCTCGACCCCACACCCAGCTGGAACCCACGTGCTGGCTGGAACTGGAGACCTCCTGCTGATCTTTGCCCCACTTCTGGGTCAGTGAGACCCAGGGAACTAAGAAAGGGACAGAGAAGAGAAACAGCTGAGGTGACCACGCCTGCCAGTTGTAAAATCCCCTTGCTGGGAGAACCCTCGAGGTTGTCCTGCTCTTCATTTGCATGGCACAGGAGGAGTGAAGAGAGAAGGCAGCGAATGTCTGGCCAGAGTGCAATGTGTGTTGCAACAGAGCCTCAGGGCTCCTAGCCCCTGGCCGTACATCCTCCCCATCAGCACCCAGGCTTGACATAAGCAGACGAACGCAAGCACTGTGAGGACTGCAGGCCTGGGCCCTCCTGTGGGCCTTGGCGAAGCCAGAGAAATCTCAGTCTGGATCTGCCAGGCCCTGCCTGGCGCCCTCTGCAGTTGTGGGTGGCACAGACTGCCCATTGCTGTGCCCATTGTTTCACCCCAGCCGAGTGAGCAGTGGACAGCAGGAAGGATACTGGGGTGGCCGGGGCCACAGTTGCACACTTGGGCTTCTCACACATATATGTCTGTGCTCATCGGGGCCTTGGGAGGACAAGGACAACTCCTGAGGAAAGATGGGGCCTCCCCAGCCGGGTGCATTGAGCCTGGGCTGCCAGCATCATGTTGTCGTGGGGACGAGGCTGGGCCCCGGGAAGGTAAAAAGGGAAGACAGTTGGGGAGCCAGTCACAGAGGGTGTGGGGAAAGAGTGACCATGGGTGTCTCCACCTCAGAAAGGCCACTCCTCTGTAACGGCAGGGCCTTCCCAAGACACTGCAGCCCAACTCTGCCAGTGGCGAAGCCACACTCCATGGAGATTTCCACATGGAAGAGCTGCGCCCACACTGTGGCGTAGTTACACTGTTCTAGCACGCGTGGGCTCCTGAGGCAATGTGGTTACACCCCCCTTGTCAGTGTATCCGTATCTCTCACTATGGTCGCCCGTGTTTGGAGAAGTTAAGGTGACATGGACTCTCCCTTTACACCTCCACGGGGATGGCTCACAGCACCCCAAACTCAACAAGTCCATCTGCCCTACCCACCTTCTTCCCCAGTCTTCCCTATCTCAGTGACCAAATGGCACAAACCAAAGAGCTAGAGGGCATCTTTGACTTCATCCTCCTTTATTCCCCTATAGCCATCTATCGCCAAGGGTTGCCATTTCCACTTCCTCAAGAGACTCCATCCATGTCTCGCTACCTCCTCCCCCAGTCCAGGCCACCGTTGTCTCTTTCTTTGATGACCACAATAGCTTCCTCTCCGGTCTTTCTGCCTTCACTCTTGCCTTCATCTCCTTTACTTTGCAACAGCCACAGTGGTCTTTAAAATATGTAAATTGTGTCAATCTTTTCTATTATCAAAGCTCTCCCGTGGCTTCCATTTGCACTCAGAATAAAGCCCCCAACTTCTTCCCAGGTCTTATTTGGGCTTCACCACCTCTCCCACTTCATCTCCCATCTTTCTCCTTCAGTATGTTTCAGACTCCACTAGTCATAGCTCTGCTATTCTAATAAGCCAACTACTCTCCTGCCCAGGATGTTCAAAATACAACAAGTGTCTCAGCGAGGCCTCACCTGACTTCTTAAGCTGGTCAGGTTCCTCCCTTATTCCCTCTCTTAGCTTCATATACTTCTGTTTATAGTTATTCTAACATAATTACATGACTAGGTGTGCAACTGTTTGCTTTTCTCTCCCCCAAGACAGAGTCTTGCTCTGTCACCCAGGCTGGAGTGCAATGGTACAATCTCAGCTCACTGCAACCCCTGCCTCCCGGGTTCAAGCAATTCTCCTGCCCCAGCCTCCCAAGTAGCTGGGATTACAGGCACATGCCACTATGCCCAGCTAATTTTTGTATTTTTTAGTAGAGATGGGGTTTCACAATGTTGGCCAGGATGGTCTCGATCTCCTGACCTCATGATCTGCCTGCCTCAGCCTCACAAAATGCTGGGATTACAGGCTTGTGCCACCACGCCCGGCCAACTGTTTGCTGTCTAATGCTTAGTTCCTTCACTAGAATGTAAGCTCCATTAGCGCAGGAGCCATGTCTGACATGTTTACCCTGAACCCCAATGTCCAGCACGGTGCCTGGCACATAACAGGTGCTTAACAAATATTTACTGAATGAATGAATGAGAAAATAAACATCTTATTCTTTGGGGGGAAAAAAGTGCCCTGTGCTACTATCGCAGGGATTAGTCTGGTATCCTTGACTGATAATGATATCTTTTTGGTAGATTAAAGGACTGTCTCCTATTAAATGCAAATATTCCAGAAAGGTCCTTAGAGGAATGAAAATCAAAGCCCATGGCTGGCTCACCCCTGTAATCCTAGCACTTTTGGGAGACCAAGGCGGGAAGATCACTTGAGACCAGGAGTTCAAGACCAGCCTGGGCAATGTAGCAAGACCCCATCTCTATGAAACATACACACACGCACACACTCTGAGATACCACTTTCACTAGGATGGCCAGAATCGAAAAGACGGATAATAACATGTGGTGGTGAGGAGGTGGAGAAATTGGAACCCATATGCATCGCTGGTAGGAATGTAAAATAGTGTAGCTGCTTTGGAAAACAGTCTGGGAGTTCCTTAAAAAATTAAATGTGCTCATCATGTGCTCCAGAAATTCCACTCCTAGGTGTATTCCCCAAGAGATTGACAACCTATGCTCACACAAAAACTTGTGCCCAGATGTCCACAGCAGCATTATTCATAACAGCCGAAGTGTGGAAACAATCCAAATGACCCAAGAATCCAAGCTTATGACTGGATAAATAAAATGTGGTATGTCTATACAGTGAAATAGTATTTAGCCATAAAAAGAAATGGAGTACCGATCCATGATACAACATGGTGAACCTTGAAAACATTATGTTAAGTATAAGAAGACAGTCACAAAAGGCCACATATTGTATGATTCTATTTATATGAAATGTCCAGCATTAGTGGTTGCCAGGGCTGGAGAGAGGGAGAAATGGGAGTGGCTGCTAAAGGCCACGGGGTTTTTTTTTGGGGTGACAAAGATGTCCTGAAATTAGTGGTGACGGTTATATAACTTTGTGAGTATACTAAAAACCACTGAATTGTATACTTTAAAAGGTGAATTTTATGATATATAAATTATATCTCAAAAAATTAATTTAAAAAAGCACCCCGGAGGGGTAAGCCCAGGAAGTTTTGATGAACCGTTAGTGTCTTGGTGTGAGTTTATCAGGGCCCCTGAAGAGTGGGGTGGGAGCCACTGCTGTGGAGATGCGTCCCCTGCTGCCCACAACCACAGCTGCTTTTCACCGTTGCTCATGGAGAAAACTTCTGCTTGTCCTTCCGGACTCTGGTTGAGTGCCTCTTTATCTATCGAGGCCCCTTTCCCTTTGATAAATTGCCTACCTTCCTCTCAGTTTGTTAGAAAAGGCAGACCTTTTAGAGTACAGGTTTTAGTTTCCTGCCATTTGAGGGACTTTCTTGGGGGCCAAGACTGTGACTCCCCAGAGCTCTGAGCAAGATCTTGGTGAATAAGCACTTGGTGAATGCATGACTGACATGAGTGTGCATCTGTGTGTGTGTGTGTGTGTGTGTGTGTTTAAACAGCCAGCCTTTTCAAGACTCCAGGTAAGAAACTGGCCCAGAGACCTCTCCGGGGCTTCCATGGTCCTATGACACCCCAGGTCAAACCTGCCTGTCCTCCGGGGCAAAGCTTGACATCAGGGGCTGGTGCAGTTACCTCAGGACATTCCCAAGCTCCCTTTCACTTGGGATGAGACATCTGTTTCTCTAACTCAGAAGTGGGTTGGACCAAGCTATTGTGTTAGCACCACAAACTTCCTGCCGGCTCCTCCTGCCCGCCAGTTCAGGAAGGCGGGAGTCTCTTTGTGAGCTGGCAGAGCTATGACTATAAGGAAGGCCTAATCTGATTTGTGGAAACAGCCCTGGGCTCCACCTGAACAGAGTAGTAGCCACCCAAGAGCCAAAGCGATGCCCACCGAGCAGCCTGCTGTTCCCCGATGGCCTCCCCGTGCCCTCTTCTGGCTGCCCCATCCCTGTAGCCCTGGTTTCCCTTCGGCCTGGGCGGGCCAAACCAACCCACCTTGGGATGAGTCAGAGGGGGCAGACCACAGGGTGTGGTTGCTGCAGGTCTCATGGGCTCCACGGATAAACAAGGAGCCTGGGCATCTCTGCCTGGGAAAACATCCCCAGCAGGGGCCTCCTGGTCCCCAGCAGTGGCCCTGTTCAGCTCTCCACATCAAGGGTAGGCTCTTGCCTGCCATGGACTGCACATGGCAGCAGAAGTGGTATGGTATGTGTGTGTGTGTGTACTGGTTAGGTGCACAGGATGTCAGCCTTAGCATGAAACTCAGAATCCCAGGATTTTGGAGGGAAGGGGCTTAAAGATCATCCAGTTCAGCCCCATAATGGGAAAACCGAAGACCGGTGGGGTGAAGTGACTTACTCAGGGTTGCATGACATAGAGCTTGGACGAGGCCAAGTCTCCAAACTCTTTCCCCTGCTCTGCCCTGCCGCTCCCCTGGAGAGTCAAGAGGCAAGAAGGCTGTGGGAAGCTAGGATTCCAGATATGCCCTCAGTGCCCAGCCCAAAGGCTCCACTGTCTGGTTCCTAAACTGATCAGAGCACAGCCTGCTGAGGGCTGACAGGACTCCATGTGTGGGACGGGACTTCGGCTTATCTGAGGGGTCTCACCACCTCTGGCCACAGGCCCCAAGCCCTGTGCAAGAGAGAGGGCACTCCTGTGGTTTTCTGCATGGGAGCCACTCCTGCTTCCTCTGCTAACAGCACCCCTCTAGGGAAGTGCTTTTCCATGGAGTTCTGACCAGGCCGTCACTCACAGTGCTCTGTCTCTCAGTAGCCCCTGTGCACACGCAGACAGGCCAGGCAAGGATGGCCCCACCCTCCAAGCACAGTGACTGGTCAAGGGGGCCACATGACCTGGCAGGGTCAATCAGAATCCATCCTTGTGACTGTACTTATGGACACAGAGACAAAGCTATCTCTTTTCTCCAGGCGGTGGGCTGGGATGGGGTAGATCTGGAGCTGTCTGAGGCCATGGCCTCCTCTTCCCACCCCACTCCCCAAACATGAGAAAGGCCCATTTTACAGAAGGAAAGAATGAGGCCAACACATAGTGAGAGAAACTGTCTTCAGCCATCCTATGAGTTCTTGGACCCTTCCTCTGAGTTCTTAGATTCTGTCACGCCTGGGGCCAGTTCCACTTCCGAACTTACCAGTTTTATAAGCCAATAAATAAATCCCTTAAGATAGGTTTGTTAGTTCCAGTCAAGAAAGTCTTGACTAATAAAACAGGAAGGCCCCAGATCCAAAGTGGATCTGAGAATGTCTGACCACTATAGCAGAGGTGGCAGGTGCTAGACCCCACATACAGCCCACTTTCCCAAACTTGGGATAGGATGAGAGAAGTAGGAGCTCAGACACCCTCCCTGCTATCATGCCAAGGCTGGGCCATAGAGGAGGCAGTAAAGACCTTGGAGCAGGTTATAAGTTCTCTTATATAGTATTTACCAGGCATCCACTGTGAGTCAGGTGCTGTGCTAGACCCTGAGGCTAGGGTGGTAGACAGACTAGACATAGCCCCACAGAGCTCAGAGACTAAGTGTTTGCCAACTACTTTTATATTGTGCAGCTCTATCATTAACTAGGTGTTTGACTTCCGGTGAAATATTTAATCTCTCTGAGCTTCTCATTATTTATAAAATACATCCTGACTTTGAGTATGGGTTCATGGGATAACATGGAGTTTGGCTCAATAAATACTGGCTATGATTGTAACTTATAGGAGAAAGCATCCTCCCTGTTTTCCCCACTCCTGAGGCTCACAGATTCATTGGGGTGGCCATGCCCACAGAGAAAGTTCAGCAATAGCATGAGAGTTGAAGGCTAATCAAAGGCTAGAATTCAAGGGATGCTATCAGAGCATGGTTGGCCAAGGAGTGGCCCAGGAGTGGAGCCTTAGCTGGGAGAGACGCTGCAGTGGGTTGGGATGGTCAAGGAGGAAGAGATAAGGCCATGGCCTCCTCTTCCCACCCCACTCCCCAAACATGAGAGAGGCCCATTTTACAGTAGGAAAGAATGAGGCCAACACACAGTGAGAGAAACTGTCTTGACCCATCCTATGGGTCAGGATGGCACAGGAGCAAGAGTAAGAATGGAATGGACAGGGGACTGATGGAAGTTAGGTTGGAAAGATCTTTTAGGCCAGGGTGGTGAGAACAAAGTCCCTGTTCTGTGGTTCTATGGGGTGGGGAACATGACAGGATAAAAGCACCTTAGGAGGCTGCTGCTCCGGTTCAGGTGACTAGGGATGAAACCCAAGCCGGGGTTACCCTTGAGGTATAGTTAGAGCAGAAGAGGCAGGTGTGAGAAAGATCCAGAAAGAAGAATGGCAAGGCCATGGAGACTCAGACTTATTAGACACAGTGGCGAGGGAGACCAAGGAGCACAAGGGCCTGGGAGATAGGGTGTCCCTCACCAGGACAGGACAGACAGGGTCTGAACTAATTTTTGTCTGGGGGTCATAGGGCAGAGAGTGTTCCAAGTCGTCTTTTAGACCATTCTGGATTTAGGACATATTGGAAGACTGTCTGGTGGAAATAGAGGCAGGTAATGACAGATACAGGATTAGATTCTGTGATGAGCAGGAGTCAAAGTGAACCCCAATAAATAGGTAACCACATGGCACACTCAGTCTGTGTGTGTTGGGAGCAGGAGAGTGATCTGTGGGATTTAAGGTACTCAGGCTAGAGTGGAGAGGGCACTGCCTGAGGACAGGCAGTTTTGCCAGAGAGGAGAGGCAATTTCCCCAGTCAAGGGAAAGAACCAGGGCCTGAGAGGGCAGTGCAACAGGAAGGCAGCTTCTACCCTGAGGCTGGGTCTGCCACTGTAGAGACGAGAAGGTAAGAGGTGCCGTGAGGTCCTGACCTTGCAAGACTTCAAGGAGTGGGGATGGCCTGTGAGGGAGGAGTTTGCTGTCCCTGAACAGAGGCTGCCACCAGGGGCCCCAGGCATCCAAGCTGCCCACCCATGGCCCATTGGAGATGGCTGCCTGCGCTCAGGTGCCCCGCAAAGCAACAGGCAATAGGCAGTCAGCCTGCACATGCCCCGGGCCTGCCTCTCCCTGCAGCCCCGCTCCTGGCAGCCCAGCCTCCTATAATTGCCTTCTAAAAATATCCTTCCCCCACCCCCACCTCTTGATTTCAAAATATTTAGTTTTCAGGGTATTTAAAATGAGAGCTGGCGGCTCTTCCAGGCCCAGATAACAAAGCTAAACATTTATGCTTCGACTGCATTTCTCTGAATCGGCTGAGATCTAGGGCTTGATATGGCAGCAGCAGGAGGGAGGGGAGTTGAGTGCGAGATGGATCACATGCAGGCCCCAAGGGCCGGGGGGCCACTGGCCTGCCCTGCCAAACCCCTCTAGGACCCTTCCCTCTGTCGGGGCCCACCTACCGCTGTTGACGTAAAGCCGGCCCCGGACGGTGTCCTTCCCCAGGATGTTCTCTGCCTCGCAGACATACTCCCCAGCGTCCTCCACCTTCACCTTGTTGAACTGTAGTCGTGAGTTCTTTCTGGTTAGGGAGGGTATAAGAGGGAGAGAGGCATGAGCCAGGGCCGGCTGTGGCTCCCCAGCGGTCACCCAGCGGTCGTCTCTCTCCACAGAGCCACAGTGGCCCTGCAGCTTAGATGGGAAGGAGATTCCCTCCGCCCAGCGATTTCTGGAGTCCAGGTGGGGCATGGAGTCCCTGCAGCTGCAGGGAGCCCTGGGCCCTTAGGACAACACAGGGCAGGACTAGTGGCTGCTCACAGGTCCTAAATCTATGATCCCTCACATCGGCTTTTCTAGGGCCGGACCACTGTTGTAACATTCTTCTGGGGGAGTAAAGCCAGGCCCTATAGGAAGTCACATGGCCACCTCCCTCATTCCCAGCTGCCTCCGCCTCTCCTGGGAAGTGGCAACCTGTCATTCTGGGTATGCAAGACCTGTTCCCAGATACCTGGGAGGGCGGCTGTCCTGACAGATTCCCATGGCGATGGTGCCCAGACTCCTCATCCAAACCTGGGGCTCTCCCTTGTTCTCAAAATCAGCCCTGCCACTAAGGGGCACTCTGTGGCTTCTCCAAGGGGTTTTTGTTTCATTCATTCATTCGTTCAACAAATGTTTACTGAGCACTTTCTGTGTGCCAGGGGCTTGTACACCTTGGGGAACAAAAAGATCCTGGACTTGATCCTCAGGGCCAACCTGGGTGTTCTCTTCTTACAGAAGGGAAAACTGAGTCCTAGAGGGACTTCCTGACTTGCCCGAGGGCACTTGGCAAGGCAAAGGCGGAGGTATGCCAGGAGCTGCAGTTCATGAGGACATGGGCTATCTCTGGGAACCCAAAGCTGGGGCTAGCCCTGAAGCTTTGAACCTAGTCCCTGCATGCTGAGAACTGTTTGGCCAGGCCTGGGCGGATCCCCCCAGTGCTGTGACTCCAGGGCACCTGGCCCTGGTCTCCCTCTTCTTTCTGAAGCCCCAGCCAAACCTCTCCTTCCTTCTCAGAGTTTCCCTGCAGCTACCCCAGGGTGCTTAGGCTCTGCAAGGGTCTGTTCACAGCCCTCACCCCTTCCTCTGCCTCCAAGGGCCGGCCAGCACGAGCTCTGCATAAAGCCTGGGACCCCAGCCTGGCCCCCAGGAGGAAGCAAGAAGTAACATGGTAATTTCTGTAGATGGTATGATTGCCTCCTCTTTTTAGTGCTGAATTAAAAAGCCAGGTTTCCAGCCTATGTGTAGTGGGTTGGAGAGGTGGGGGAACACGCGGGAGGGCAGTAGAGCCATCATTGCCCTGAGCCTAGGATATGTAAAACTGAGCTATGGAGCTGATGGGGTAAGGAGGCCAAGGGGAGGCAAGCAGAGAGGCTGGGCCAGGGTCAAGGAGATGCAAACTGGCTCACAGTCCCTACCTGGGCTGTTTCCACCTCTGATGGGGAGCTTCTTCCCAGGCATCCTTACCCCCAGATCCTCCAAACAAGGGTGCTACAAGGTTGTCTTTTCTATAGACCCTATTGCTGTGGTGATGTCCTTGCTGATGCTGTGGTGACAGCTGCTTAACTATTCCATATTCTTCCTGCCTCAAGCTGGTCTCTGTCTCCTTGGCCTGGTGCCGGGCCACAACCCTCTTCTGTCAATTATAGTTTGTTCCCTTCATTAAAGAGAGCCCTGGAGGCCCCTCTGACTAAGACAGCATCTCTTTCCCTGATCCAGCCAAATTAGATGCCACAGACTCCAGCTTCCCCCAGGGTATGGCTTCTCTCACTTCCCTGTGCACCCACCAGATTAGCAGGGAAGGGGGATCGCCTGAGGGTACGGGGGTGGGGGTGTTGATGCACAGGGGACTCTCCTTGTCGCCCACCCTGGAATTCAGAGGCGCTTGCCTTCTACAGCATCATATGTAGCAGGACACTAAGGAAGGATTCCCCACTTGCAGGCATGTGAGACCTGGAGAAGGGAGGCAAAGGGCTCTGGGAGTGCCCCTTCCCTCTGAGGAACAAGAAAGAGGCAGGGGACAAAGATAATGACCCTGAGGCTTGCTGCAGGTGTCCTAGGTTAGCAGCTGTCTCATGGTTTCACGGAAGCCGGTCCCAGAGATGCACATGGGGCTCTGGGTCCAGGCTGAGGGGCAGGGCTCTGAGGGTTTCTCAGCCCCTGCAGGAACTGGAGTCACCACCTTCTCCTTCCTCACTCCCAGCTCCAGGTGGAAGCCTGAGGATTCAGGACTCTCCTGTCTCCCTGGCAGGCCAGGTGCCGTGTTCTGCTCCTGGTGCCCCATCACGCGCTGACCCGGGTTTGCCCTGAGATGGTGACCACGCCCCCCCCCCCCGACCTCCCCAGCTGGTTCTCTGCTGGCAGGGACGGGATCTGGGCAGCTGTGTCCTCCACAGTGCCTACCCCCACCCCCTGCCTGCTCAAGGGGCCTGTTCCAGCCTGCCCCTCATAAACAAGGGAACATGCGATTCTGCAGGGAAGGCCCTGTGCCCAGGGCTTGGGGGGGCAGTTTGCTCCTGGCACAGGAAGGCTTGGGTGAGATGTTTCAGGGCAGTGGGCACAGAGACAGCACCCGCTGAGGAGGGGTCTCTACAGGTCAACAGAGATGCCCAGAGTGCGGCCTGGGCAGGGAGAGTGCCAGGAGGCAGGGGAGTCAGCTGTTGTCTGGGCAGACAGGACAGAGAACATTTTGCCAGAAAGCAGACTCCTGCCGCTGCCCCTGGCCCCTCTACTAGGTGGGGTGTGTAGTGTTGGATGGGTGGTGTGTGCAGGTGGCCGTTCTCTCTAAGTCACTCTGAGGGCACCTTGGTTGCAGGGAGTCAGAAGTTCTCTATCATGGCTCACTCCTCCACCACTCACAAGTCACTGCTGAGAGCCCAGGGGCAGGACAGGGAGAACAGGGAGGTTTCCTGATGCAGCAAATGGGGCAGGGCCCTGACAGGTAGGGGGCAGGGGGCACACTTTAGACTCTTATGGGTCCATAATACCCAAGAGGAGAAGACCAGGCTCTGTTTCTGGATTCTTCAGAGGAAACGGAGGCTTAATCAGGACAGTAACTGGTTCGGAAGGTTAGAACCATCCAAAGGGTCTCCTGCCCAGTCCCAGTGGGACTCTACACCCAGGAGAGGAGGGCTAGTCCTGCAAGATTCGCATCAGTTTAGTCCTCAGTGTAGAGCTCTCTGCCAGGCCCAGTAGGGGAGAAGCCGGTGTCTGGGTATAGGGATCCAGGCTTTGAGGCTCTCTCATGCTGGAAGGAGAGACAGATCCCTCCACAAAGCAATGAAGCCATGTCTAAGGCACCATGGGAGGAGACAATGAGAGCTGCCTAGAGGGCTTAGGAAGGTGTCCCAGAGAGATGACAGTTAAGCTGGGCCTTGGAGAGCCTTGCCAGGGACAAGCAAGGGGAGGAGAGCTGCCAGCATAGGGAACAGCCTGGGCTCAAGTCCAGTGCCATGAAAGGAAAGACCAGCGGCCGAGAGTGTAGCAGTGTCAGGAAACTGCAGGGCAGTGACTTGTAGGCCAGGAAGAGGAGTCGGAAGAGCCCCAAGGCTGTACCTGGCACGCAGTAGGCTCTCAAGCTCTGTCTTGAATGGATGATTGAATAGATGTTCCTGTTAGAAAGACCATTGCCCGTCAGGCACTCACAGGGGTCAGTGACTCTGTGGACTTCTAGAATTACAAACAAACTGAGTACATAAGTCACATTTTTTTTTTCCTGAAGAAAAGGACGAGGCTTCTGCCAGATTCTATAGTAGAAGCTAGACTAGAGATTCATGAAGGTAAGGACCATGTCTGTTTTGTTCACTGACATATTCTGAGCCTCTAGCAGAGTGCCTGGCACATAGTTGATACTCAATACAGATATGTTAGATTCAGAAACGAATTCTCAGAGGGCCTGTGGTCCAGAAAAGGTGGGGAGTGGCCAAGAGTGGGACAGAGGAGGGAGACCAGATGGGAAATGTGCAGGCAGGGAAAGAGGCACGACTCCCTGGGCAGACGACAAGAGGCCAGGGGTTGAGGAGCTGGGAGTCTGGTTGAGCCACAAGTGAGAGGGGAACACGGGAGGGACAGAAAGGACTACAGCAGGTGGGGGAGAGGCCAGATTGGGCATTCAGAATCAGAAATATCTGTGAGGCATCTCAGACATGGTATCTAGTGTCTCTCTGGCAGCATGGGTCTGGAGCTCAGGTGAAAAAGCCATCATGTCTGGAGATGGAGACTTGGGGTCTCAGATTCTTAAAGCAACAGGAGAAGGTGAAATCACCCACAGTTGGAAAGGGAAGAAAGAAAATAGTGATGCCCGACCAGGCGTGGTGGCTCAAGCCTGTAATCCCAGCACTTTGGGAGGCCGAGACGGGGGGATCACGAGGTCAGGAGATCGAGACCATCCTGGCTAACATGGTGAAACCCCATCTCTACTAAAAAATACAAAAAACTAGCCGGGCGAGGTGGCGGGCGCCTGTAGTCCCAGCTACTCAGGAGGCTGAGGCAGGAGAATGGTGTAAACCCGGGAGGCGGAGCTTGCAGTGAGCTGAGATCTGGCCACTGCACTCCAGCCTGGGCAACAGAGCAAGACTCTGTCACAAAAAAAAAAAAGAAAAGAAAAGAGTGAGGCCCAAAGTTCAGGAAAGTTCCAGCATTGATGGCAACTAAGAGACAGTGTCCAGACTCACAGCAGGACCAGGAGGAGCATCACAGGGCCTGGGGAGCAGGTGTTCCCATGCTGAGGCCATTGAGAGGCCTGGAGGCCTGAGCCAGGGAGTGCAGAGATAACTGGGGTTTCTCCAGGGCGACAGCCATCGAGAGGTTGGGATGTAAGTGAAAGGCAGATTCCAGCAGGGCAAAGAGTGAGTGGAGGATGAGAGTGTGCAGTCAGTGGGCATGAGGCTAGCTCCCTCAGTGACTTCATATGGTGGTGGAGGGCGGAAGTGAGATGGGGCAACTGCTGGAGGGCCAGGGGAGCAGCAGCGTGGAGGGACAGCATTTGAGAAAAAAAGTCACGGGTAGGGAGAGAAAGTTGAAGTTACCAGAGAAAGGAGTGAGTTGGTGGTACCAGGGCTCTGCGGGTGTGTGTGTGTGTGTGTGTGTGTGTGTGTGTGTGTGTGTGTAGTGTGGGAATGTGCGGGAGGGAGGGTGAGTATGAGTGTGTGGCACCAGGTAGGGTGGGATGATGATAGGCAGGTTGTAGACATGTTTGGGAGTCACGAGGAGGGAATGGGGGCTCTCTTGACTTTTGTCACTGCAGTGAAGTAGGGGAGAAGCCATCTTCTAGAAAGAAAGGATAGGAAGGAGACAGGACCCAACTGCCCCAGCTCCAAGAAGCCTGCCCATTCTCTTCAGCTTGGAGCCAGCCTTGGAAGTGCAGTGAGAAGGGGCAGGGTGGTCTCAGAGGGTGGGCTGGGTGGGCAGCCAGAGCTTCTTGACAATGCTGTAGACTAGGGACACATAGAACCCCCCACTCACCACTGGCCATGGTGAGTTCCTTAGGAAGCGGCATTCTTTTAGCCACAAACCTTTGATCTAAGCCAAACCCCTCCTTAATTACATTCTGTTTTCTGCCAGGATCATTTTCTAGAATGATCAGTTCTACTTCTGCTCCCCATTCTTGGAAGGAGAATCAGAGAATTGGAAGTAACTCTCAGTCCCCTGACTCCTTCATCCTCTTTTATAGGTTCCAGAGTCTGAGGGCCAGAGGCAGGGCGTGGACATCCAGCCCCACACGGCAAACCCAAGCAGCCGGCCCAGCCCAGGCCCTCTACCACTTTTTGTTGTGGGCAGGCTGGTGTGCTCTAAAACCATCCTAATTTGCATTTTGTGTGTGTGGTGGGGTGGTGAGGAGGAAAATGACAGCCAGGAAGGGAGTGGTTGTAAGCTGCCTGGGAGAGAGGGCAGAAAAGGTTTGGGAGCTCCTGAGTCAGAGAGGGAAGGCCACTAGGTCCCCAGAGCCAACAGAGCAGACATCAAGTAGAACGCCTGTTTAGCTGGCAGGCACGGGTTTTCCCCCTTGCTTCTCCTTGAGAGGCAGGAGAGAGGTGGTGGGGCTGCCTTGGACTACTGGCTTCTCTGGTGCCAGAAGCCCCCTGCCTGACCCACCCAAGATGAAAGACAGGCCATCTTCCATAGCCTGGAGACTCAGGGAACTTCTCTGATTCACTTCCCCGGAGCACGGATTCAAGATCAAACACAATTCTCATGTTTTAGAGGGAAATCCTCTGAGGAACAGAGTTCTCCAGCACCAATCAAAGTGCTGCCCCTTTCCCCTACCTAGTTCTCTGACAAGTGACAGCTTGCAAGCTGAGAAACCAGCCCATCATGTGTGACCTCCCAGAGGCATTCTGGAGTCAGGGTCTTTCACCAAAGATTACCAATGATGGGGCTTTCAGACGCTGCAGCAGGTCTTTCAAGAAGTTTTAGGGGTGAGCAGGGTCTTCCACTGATCAAGCTGACTGTGACAGTCAAATTGCCTTCAACTATCCAGAGAAGTTAAAGGCTTAATTCTTGTCTGTGGTCTGCAAGATCCTGGGCCACCATGACCAGAGGGTCCCTGAGCTGCAGGAAGAAGGCTGGGAGTGGCAAGGAAGGGGAGTAAAGAGAGGGGCTGGGACTGGTTCCATGGGCGAATCTGGGGGCACAGCCCTGGCCTCTGTCCAGTTTAGGCCCCTCCTTCTCGAGAGGAGGGAAGGCAGCCAGTTGGACGGAGAACAGGCTGGATATTGCTTACCTGCCGTTGCCATATTTGATGCGAATGTCTCGGCTGCGGTTGAGCTCCTTGCCGTCCTTGAACCAACGGTAGGAAGGTTGGGGATTACCGGCTGCTGCCTCACACTTCAGCGATTGCTTCTCACCCACCTGTCCCGTCTGGCTCTTCATCTTCTTCAACTTGGGCCGGGTGGCTGTGGGGTACAAGGCAGGTAGGTGAGCATGGTGGTGGCAGGGGCAGTGCCAAGCATGAGTAGTGGACAGTAAGGGCCACTGTTTTTGGGCTGCAACTGGGGAAGGGAGGGGTGATCCTGAGAGCCACCCCTCCTGGTGTCATTCCCTAGTTCAATTCAATAAGCATTTACAGTGAGTCTGTCATGACATCAATGTAGTTATAACTAAGAGAGAGTTTCCTTCATGCCTTGAATGGTGTGAAGCTTGACATTAGCTTATGAAACCTTCACAATAACCCCATGAGTTCACAGCAATGGTTAAACCCACTTACAGATGGGGAAACGGAGGCTCAGAATGGTGAAGTCACTTCCCTAAGGGCAGATGATGGAACTGGGATTCAAACCCAGATCTCCTTGACATTGGTGCTCAAGATCTAAAATCATGGGTAACAAGCCATGGGGCTGTACTGGTGGGCTCAGGCCCAATCACGGATGCAAAGCTGCAAATGCCAGGCTGAGAGGCTGTCCCCATTTTTCTTAAATGCCATTCTATCTCCACATGCCCCAGTCTCCCATGCTTCACTTCCTTGCTCCTCTCCCCACCACCAAAAAAACAAAACAAAACACACACACACACACACACACACACACACACACACACACACACACACACACCACAAAAGAGAAAGTACCCTGTTCTTAGGAAGGTGAGGCCAAGCCAGTGCTCGTGCTGAGGTGTGTAACAATTTCCAGTGGGATAGTCCCTTAAAGGATACACAAAGCCTTCATGCAGGTTCTCGTTTGGTCCCTGAGCTCTGTAAGGCAGTGTCATACTGACATTGATGGTGCAGATGAGACTCAGAGAGGTGAAGAAACTTGCCTGAAGCCACATAGCCAGGCAGCCACAGAGCTGGGACCAAAGCTCAGGTATCAAGATTTGCCACGTGTTAGGTTGGTAGCAGGATGGTGTCTGATTTTGTGGTCTCATCTCTCTCTGTGAGATGGTTAAAAGCCTTCCAGTAGCAGAAGGGAGGGTCTGTTGGAGCCAGGGAGTTGTCTGGGAACTGACTGGCTCTGTCTCAGCCATTGGTCCTTTCCCTGGCAGCTCAGAGTGCTGACAATGGGCCAGAGCTGGCTCTGGAGAAAGGCAGGCAAGAGGGCCTGGCTAGAACAGGGTCCCCTCATTGAACTTCACCCTGAGCTGCTGCATATATGCAGGGAGTAGATGAGAGGGGCGCAGGGCACAGAGGAAGCACAGAAAGGAAGCCTTTAAAAATGTATGACGTAGTCTTATGCAATGATTCTCATAAAATAATTTTGTTCATTTTAGAAAATTAAAAAATACAGAAGGTTGAAAAAAGAAGAAAACAAAACCATCCCGTGTCTCCATACTCATAAATAACACCTCCCCCCATTTTTAAACAAAATGGAATCAATGCCATTTGTGGACAATAATAACAATAATAGCTAACCTTTGTTAACTGCTCTCTCTGTGCCAGGCTCTATGTATTCTTTCCTTTAATGAAACACTGTAACCCTTTCGCCTGGGTGTTAAATAGTAATAATAGCATTTCCCAAAGTGAATTCTATAAGCAGGAGTATCTGGAGAGATGAAAACAATATTACTTGAGAAGAGGGTTCCATGGGAAAATGGGTTTGGAGAGCATGTGGGTTAAGCATAGTTAAAGAAGTATCTATCAACTTCAGTATTGTTCTCTAAGTGAGGGCCTTGAAACCATTTTTCTTGGAACTCTTAGCGGCACTTCAAGGAAATAAAAGTTATGTGGAATAAATTCTATAACTTATATGTATATTTATTTGTGTGTGTGTATATATATATTGACAATGATTCCATTGAATATATATATATATAGATACACACACACATATATTTTGACAGACATCAACATGATTTAAAATTCAAGAAGTGAAAAGGGGTATATGGCTTAAAAAACAAGTCTCTCTCTAACTTCTGGCCACAACCACACAGTTGTCTTTCTAGGAGATAATCATTCTTATTGGTTCCTTTGACCCCCTTTCAGAAATCTTTTATGCATACACAAATCCCGCCCGTATTCACACACTCAGTTTTTCTTACAGCATCATTTTTCATGGTTGCATAATGTTCCTGTATGGGTGTATCATAACTCATGTAACTGATTGCTGTGTGGAACATTTAGCATGTCCCCCTCCACCTTCCCATTACAAACAACCCCAAAAGAACACCCTTGCAGCTTTATCTTTGCACACACCCCATGTATACTGCTGTATGGGGGAGGATGGCTCTAGACTCAGGCTGTCTGGCTTTCAATCCAGACTTTGCTACTTGTTAGATTTATGTCCTCAAGAATTAACTTCATTCATTTGCGCCTCAACTTCCTCAGCTGTAAAATACAGGAGATAAATAATAGCTCTTACCTCTTGGGATGATGACTGTGAGGATTATATGAGACAATGCATGTAGAGCCTGGCACATAGAGAGCATTTAACAAAGGTTAGCTATTATTATTATTATTCACAATTATTTCCTAAGGCGATCTTCCTAAAAGTGGAATTGCTGCGTCAGAGGGTACGCAATCTTCCTCAGTTTTGTACATTGCCAAATTGCCCTTTGGAAAGGTTGCACCAATTTGTGCTCCCCCCACTGAATGACAGTGCCTGTTTTTTCCACACCCTCACCAACACGAGGTATTATCATGTCTTTAATCTTTGCCAATTAGCTAGGCAAAAGATAACGTCTGTTTGTTGTTTTAATTTGCATTTATTTGATTACTGATGAGGCTGAACATTTTTCATAAGTGTATTGGCCCATTGTATTTCTTCTTTTTGAATTGCCTGTTCATGCATGCAGTCTGTTTTTCTATTGAGTACTCATCCTAGTGACTTGTAAGAGCTTTTAATAAATATTAAGGCTATTAACCTTTTGCTACAAAGTTTTTTCCCCTCAGTTACCTGCTTTTTTATATTGCTGGTTTTTCTTCTTCTTTTTCGTTTCTTTTCTTTCTTTTCTTTTTTTTTTTTTGTGGCACCCAGAGATTCTATGTGCATCAATCTATCAATCTGTTGGACTTTTTCGAACTTCATTATTCTAAGTGTGACTGAAATCCTGCCTTATCTTCCTTCCCTTACCCACTTCCCTCCCTCCTGCATCTGTTCTGGAGTCCCCAGTCATTGCTTACGTTAGGTCTTAACCCTGGAGGCTAATCGGAATCACATGAGAAGCTTTACAAGTCAGGTACCTGGGACATATCCTAGGCATTCTGAAGCAGAAGCTGTGAGTGTGGGTTCGGGTTGTGGGTTCTAAAGGGCTCTTCAGGTGTGTTCCTTTACTTTTGGAAAGGTAACATACATTCAGGAAAGTGCACATAAGTGTATAGCTCAATGACTGGTTACAGACTGAACACATATGCACAAGTGACTTTGCACTAAGATTGGGTTGACACCTGGTGATGATCTAACCTCTTGGTTAAGTGGTGAGCTTCAACTAGTCCCTTCCCCTTTCTTGTGAACTGGGGACACAACACAGAGAGCTCTTCTCGGGTGCTAAACTGTCCCCTTACCACACTTGGAGTGTGTTGACTTTTCTTGCAACTTAGAGACAAGGGAACCGCCTGTCCCCACCACCATGAACCACTTTCCCCCCAACAAGACGGGGCGGTGGGGGAGGGAGGATGGTGGTGGCAGCTGGTGGGAGGAAGCAGGGGTTACTCTACCACCTTGGTTCCTGACATGAGTTCCAGTGCTATATTATGCACTTAGCCTGTGGCCACTGCTTAGTGGTGATGGCGATGGGCTAGGGGGATGTGTTACAGAGAGACTGTTCCCAGAAACAGTAGGCAAGGCCCTAATTCAGAGGGCCTGAGGAACTGAGAACTCCAAAGTAATTGCTGGCCACCGATGGAAAACACAGGACCGCATTTCAGATCACAGGGAGCCCACTCCATCTAGTGAGAACCTTGTGTGACTCAGTAGCAATTTCTGGATAGTCCACTCACTTCAGAACAACCTTATCTAGTTCACCTGTTCCTTATTCATCTATTCAGTTCATTCCAAATGAATTCATTCATTCATTCATTCATTCAACCATACCAAGAGATAGGCATCCTACTGTTAGGGAGCCTGAATTTTAGCAAGGGGGACAATAAGCAAAACATCAACAGGAAATACGAGACGGTAAAAAAAAAAAAAAGCAGCTGGATAAAGGCCCTAAGGTGGGAATGAGCTTGATGAGTTCATGAGGCCAAAAGAGGCCTATGTGGCTGGAAGATAGTAGAAGATGGGCAGGGTGTGAGGGGAGCTTGGAGAGGTAGGCAGGGCCGAGGTTGACATGGGGCTGTGCAAGCCAGGATGAGAAGTCCAGATTTGTTTTGTATATTTAAAAAAAAAAAAAGCCAACTTTTTATGTGCCTACTAGAATTTTTAAAATTACATATGTGGATTGCATTATATTTCTATTGGACAGCCCTGGTTTAAAGGATGACAACATAAAAATAACCATACATTTGAATCATGCTATGTTCTTTACAAAGAGTTTTCTTTTATAGCTCTTAACGGTTCCTCAGAATCATCTGTGATGCTAAAAGCCATGCCTCCTGCTCTAGCAGCTGCGAGTCCTGGTCTTTGCTCACAGAAATCCTAGTTTGCAGTGATTTGAAAGTTGAAAGCCAGGGTCGGGCAAACCTTGTAGGAAAGTTCCTTGGGGTCAGGGGGCAGTGGCAGCAGCTCAGGTGGCAGGAAAGAGAAGAATATACACCAGATGGCCTTGGAACAATGTCCTCCGCACCCACACTCCTGGGCCTAGAGCCCTGCCAGGTTTTCTGTGGCAAAGATTGAGGTGACCTCCCCAAGATGGCCCTGGATTGGTTTTGTAGGTGTGCTGGGAAGGCATTAGAGGCTTATAAGTTAGACGATGACCTGACCTTACTTTCTGCATTTTAAGCTCTTTCTTATCCTGAGCCACCATCCTTTCTCTATGCATCCTCTAGCCATCAGTTCTAGTACCAGCCCCTGGGGTCATGTGG